GATCTAGAAAAGTTATGTGGAATCAAAAAAGAATTACCTGATTTGGATACTCGAGTCAAAAGTTATGGCCTTTAAAAGTTTTATGATTAAATTAATTTTTTTTTTAAAAAAAAAGTGACACCTGTCAAAACCTCATGAGAGACGCCCCATTTGGGCGTGTTCCCCTTAGGGTGAGACGCCTCAATGGGGCGTCACATGTGACGCCCAAAAGAGGCGTCACAGTGTGCAATAGATTCGTAATTTTTTCCAAATTTACAATAAATACGTAATTATTTAATTAAAAAACATTTTTTTTTATTTTTTTTGCCCACTTTTATGTAATTAAGTTATAAAATATTCAATTAATCTTTTATTTATCTCGTTTTTGAGCTACGAGTTGTTATCTAGGTTGTCAAAAGAGTTATCAATCTCTTATTCTTATTCTGCATAAGTATTGCAGTTGACCATGCATTTTAGGGGATTAAAAAAAATTGTTTGAGATTCTTAAGTACATATTATTTTTCTTGGCTTAGTCCTATAATTTTTTGTTTTGACCAATAAAATTCCTTCATTGAAATTACTTGCTTATTTTACTCTCTCTCTCTGTTTTTTTTTTTTTTTTTTTGAATATTTTCTAAATGAAAAGGCAAGCAACTGGTACTAATGTGATCACCTAATTTTGATTGGGCTAAAAAATAATAATGAAAAAAAAAGACATTTTCGATTTGAATCCTATTTTTAGCTCATTAAGATTATATCTTATTTTTTTTCTCCAATAATTTATTTTCTGCGCAAGTTATATATATATATATATATATATATATATATATATATATATATATATATATATAGAATCAACTTACACCGGTATAAGAATAATAAATCTTACATCAAATCTTAACCGTTGATTTCCGTGCATCAAATGGTTGAGATTTATTGGGAATTAAAAATTAATTAATGAGTGAGACCTAATAAATCTTAACCGTTAGATGTAGAAAATCAATGATTAAGATTTGGTGTAAGATTTATTATTCTTACACCGGTGTAAGATGATCCTGCCCATATATATATATACTCAATTCAATTTATCTAATTTTATAATTTGGAGAATTTATTTTTTTAGGGTGAAATACCTAGATTGTGATAATAATACTGGAAAGAAAATAGAGCGAAAAAGGGAAATAAAAGGAAATAAATGGGAAATAAAAGGAAAACCAAAAGGAAATAAAAGGAAAACTAAAAAAAGGAAATAAAAGGAAAACTAAACTATATAATGTTCTGCTGACTAACAAAAAAAAACATAACATTCTATCATTCTTTCTTTCTTTGTTTCAATCCTTGTTTCTTTGCTTCGAGCTGATACTCATATATACATCTCTCTCTTCATCTAAATGGCTCCTACCGTTTGTATTGAACCTGAAAATATTCTCTTGAATTACCAAACAAGAAAAAGCAAGAAATCAAGGATGCAAACAAGAAAATGCAAGAAATCAAGGGTGCAATCAAGAAAATTATATTTTGTTATCCTTAAACCTCTTCTCATGAGTTGAGAGTGCTTCTTCGTAGCTATCTCTCTGATGTCGCACGTGAGAAGGATCAACGTCATAAAAAACTGGCAAAACCTCTTTTCCTAAAATATTTTCATGGGTTGTGGACTTGTGGTGTCGTGGACTTTGAACGAATACTGGCTCTACCGTCATATCCACGTGACCTAATCTCACCTGCTGTCTACGTCTCCCAATTTCGGAAGATGTTACAAAATAAATGTGAAGACATCATCTGTACCCGTCCCACATTTGATAATATAGATAACGAAATGAAACAGTAAATGAACACTACTGCTGAAGTTGCTACCCCTCTCTCTATTTCTCAATTGACACTCCGTGGGAAAATTTAGAAGCCATTTCTACCTCTCCCACTCTTGGGAAATTAATATCCAATTAATCTGAGTTTTAAAAATCAATGACTATACTAACTCAGTGGAACGTTTAAAAAATCAAACACTACCATACATATGTTAGAATCATGGAGATGGAAACCAAATTATTAAGCATATTATTATTTGATTAGTTTGTGTCCTAACTACAGTTAGCACACATAAACCTAACTCTAGTTACAATCAGTAAAACAAATTAACTAACCAAGGTTACTTGAGGATTCGAAAGCGTAAAGCCTATCCGCAAAACCTACCCAATCTCACGTTTATACCTCCATCCACGTACTTAAATTTACCAGAAAGACCTTTCTACCCTACGCTAAATCTAATTATAAATTCGCTTCTCCCATATGGAGAGGCCAGGATTTATATTGAGGGGTGAACTATAGAACAACAAAGTATTAGTTTTTCTTTCTGAATTTTCTCTCTGATTCTCGTCTTTTCTCTTCGCTTTCTTTGCTAAATTAAGCGTAACATTGGTGCTTTCATCTCTACTCATCCCCCACATCTTCTCCGCCCTCCTACCTCCGTTCACCTCCATGAGTAGCAAACCTGAAAACATTCAACAAAGTTTGGGTTACTCCGAAAAACCCCCAGAGACGAAAGAGGAACCAAAGGAGGCTGATAAGAAAGAGGAACCAGAGAAGGATGATAAGAAAAAGGGAGGAAAAGGAACAATTCAAGAGAATTAAACTTCTATCATTTTATTTTGTTATTTTTCAAAGATTTGCTTCTTTATTTCTACAAGAAGATTAATTATATATTTTGATAAATCTAAATATATTTTAATGAAAATTAAACTTGCCAAACAAAATGCTGGTAAGATTAATTTTAACCAATGAGCCGGTCATAATTTGGGTTTGGATCGTGACATTTATTCTAATTATAAAACATTGTTACTTTTTTTTCACTCAGATTTTTCAGGTAGAGCACTTTTATTGGCAAAAAAAATTAAAATAATGTTTTTTAATTAAATTATTACGTATTTATTGTAATTTTGGAAAAAATTACGGATCTATTGCACACTGTGACACCTCTTTTGGGCGTCACATGTGACGCCCATTGAGGCGTCTCACCCTAAGGGGAAGACGCCCAAATGGGGCGTCTCTGTCACTTTTTTTTTTCAAAAGAAAAATTAATTTAATCTTAAAACTTCTAAAGGCCATAACTCTTGACTCAATTATCCAAATCAGGTAATTCTTTTTTTGATTTCACATAACTTTTCGAGATGTACGCAATGACATCTCATTTGACATATTTTATTTCTCACAAACACAAAGACATTTTCGATTTGAATCCTATTTTTAGCTCATTAAGATTATATCTTATTTTTTTTCTCCAATAATTTATTTTCTGCGCAAGTTATATATATATATATATATATATATATATATATATATATATATATAGAATAGAATCAACTTACACCGGTACAAGAATAATAAATCTTACATCAAATCTTAACCGTTGATTTCCGTGCATCCAATGGTTGAGATTTATTGGGAATTAAAAATTAATTAATGAGTGAGACCTAATAAATCTTAACCGTTAGATGTAGAAAATCAATGATTAAGATTTAGTGTAAGATTTATTATTCTTACACCGGTGTAAGATGATCCTGCCCATATATATATATATATATATATATATATATATATATATATATATATATATATATATATATACTCAATTCAATTTATCTAATTTTATAATTTGGAGAATTTATTTTTTTAGGGTGAAATACCTAGATTGTGATAATAATACTGGAAAGAAAATAGAGCGAAAAAGGGAAATAAAAGGAAATAAATGGGAAATAAAAGGAAATAAAAGGAAAACCAAAAGGAAATAAAAGGAAAACTAAACTATATAAAAGGAAATAAAAAGAAAACTAAACTATATAATGTTCTGCTGACTAACAAAAAAAACATAACATTCAATCATTCTTTCTTTCTTTGTTTCAATCCTTATTTCTTTGCTTCGAGCTGATACTCATACATACATCTCTCTCTTCATCTAAATGGCTCCTACCGTTTGTATTGAACCTGAAAATATTCTCTTGAATTACCAAACAAGAAAAAGCAAGAAATCAAGGATGCAAACAAGAAAATGCAAGAAATCAAGGGTGCAATCAAGAAAATGCAAGAAAAGACAGAGGGATTCATCGGATGACGACGATGATGAGTGGACTCCGACAAAGACCCTGGTACAGTTTCCTTTACCAATAAATTCCTCTTCTTTTTGCCCCAAGCTTCCCATGTTACTCGATCTATGAGTTTTGGAATTTATATGTATGTGGGTCGTTGTCTTTTTTTCCTTATTTCATGGGTTTATCTGCATTATTTAACTTGTGATGCAAGTTTACGCTCCCTGTGTACGTGAGTTTAATAAATTTGCAATCTTTGAGGTTGAGGAAGTATAATAAGAAATTTGTTTTTTATTATTTATGTTAAATTTACATTATTTGAGATTGAGGTTGAGGAAGTTTAATACGCTCTCTGTATACAAAAATCAGGCAGTGCCAAAAAAAAAAAAAAAAATACACAAAACAGAAACAGTGACAGCATCACCAAAAATTAAAAATGTTCTGTATTATTATTTTTTATTTTTTTTTATTGCTTTAAAAAAATAAAAAAAAGAAAAAACAGTAGAAAATGAGAAAATCTTTCTCAGTAAAACTTTACAGTGACCCAAAGTCTTATACTTTTCACATACCCATTTACTTATTTGCCCCGCTCTGTCATCTTCATACTCTCGCCACTCTCAGCTAGTGAGTGCCATTGTTGCTCCACCATTGTCATCCACAACAAGTTTTCATCCAGAAATCTCATCATTTTTTAAAACCAGCGAGTGCCTTCCGCCACTGTTTGAGGAAGTATAATGAGAAATTTGTTCTCAGCTTCACATCGTTGGTAAGGTCGTGACTTTAAAAGATTATCGTCAATATGGGATTTGATTTTGTGAGACGTTTCTGGTAATCAGAAACAATCTATTAATTAATTATATGATTTTCTGTTTCTTAATTTCCTTTTATAAAATCCTTTTAAATTTTGTTGTTTATGGTAATAAATTTCCTTTTAACCAACGATTCATTAGTTTGTTGTTTCTTAATTTTGTTAAAATTTATGATTTGCTGTCCTGAAATTTCAATTTTTTTTGTAGATATTAATTATATGAAGTGTCAGGCATTTTCAAACAATCTAACAATGGCAATTTCATCTTTTGCACAGGAACAAAAGCAACCGAGAAAATGCAAAAAAGCAAGGGTGCATCCAAGAAAATGCAAGAATAGGCTGAGGGATTCATCAGATGATGACGATGATGATGATGATGAGTGGACTCCTACAAAGACCCTCCAACCTTATGCAGTGCCGGTACAGTTTTCTTTACCAAATTCCTCTTCTTTTTGCCCTAAGCTTCCCTTGTTACTCGATCTATGAGTTTTGGAATTTATATGTATGTGGGTCGTTGTCGTTTTTTCCTTATTTCATGGGTTTATCAGAAACAATCTAATAATTAAATGATTTGCTGTTTCTTAATTTCCTTTTGTAGATTCCTTTTAAATTTCCTTTTAACCAACGATTCATTAGTTTGTTAAAGTTATGATTTCCTGTCCTGAAATTTCAATTTTTTTGTAGATATTAATTACATGAAGTGTCAGGCAATTTCAAAAAATCTAACAATGGCAATTTCATCTTTTGCACAGGAACAAAAGCAACCGAGAAATTGCAAGAAAGCAAGGGTGCATCCAAGAAAATGCAAGAAAAGGCCGAGGGATTCATCAGATGATGACGACGATGATGATGATGATGAGTGGACTCCGACAAAGACCCTCCAACCTTATGCAGTGCCGGTACAGTTTTCTTTAATTATCTCATTATACTTCCTTAAAGATTGCAAAAAGAAACAATCTATTAATTATATGATTTGCTGTTTCTTAATTTCCTTTTATAAATTCCTTTTAAATTTTGTTGTTCCTGGTAATAAATTTCCTTTCAACCAACGATTCATTAGTTTGTTGTTTCTTAATTTTGTTATAGTTATGATTTGCTGTCCTAAAATTTCTATTTTTTTGTAGATATTAATTATATTAAGTGTCACGCATTTTCAAAAAATCTAACCATTGCAATTTCATCTTCTGCACAGGAACAAAAGCAACCAAGAAAATGCAAGAATAGGCTGAGGGATTCATCAGATGATGACGATGATGATGATGATGAGTGGACTCCGACAAAGACCCTCCAACCTTATGCAGTGCCGGTACAGTTTTCTTTACCAAATTCCTCTTCTTTTTGCCCTAAGCTTCCCTTGTTACTCGATCTATGAGTTTTGGAATTTATATGTATGTGGGTCGTTGTCGTTTTTTCCTTATTTCATGGGTTTATCTGCATTATTTAATTTGTGTTGCAAGTTTACGCTCTCTGTATATGTGAGTTTAATAAATTTGCAATCTTTGAAGAAGTATAATGAGATATTTGTTCTCAGCTTCAGATCGTAGGTAAGGTCGTAACTTTAAAAGATGATCGTCAATATGGGATTTGATTTTGTGAGACGTTTCTGGTGATCAGAAACAATCTAATAATCAAATGATTTTCTGTTTCTTAATTTCCTTTTGTAGATTCCTTTTAAATTTCCTTTTAACCAACGATTCATTAGTTGTTAAAGTTATGATTTGCTGTCCTGAAATTTCAATTTTTTTGTAGATATTAATTACATGAAGTGTCAGGCAATTTCAAAAAATCTAACAATGGCAATTTCATCTTCTGCATAGGAACAAAAGCAACCGAGAAAATGCAAGAAAGCAAGGGTGCATCCAAGAAAATGCAAGAATAGGCTCAGGGATTCATCAGATGATGACGATGATGATGATGAGTGGACTCCGGCAAAGACCCTCCAACCTTATGCAGTGCCGGTACAGTTTTCTTTAATTATCTCATTATACTTCCTTAAAGATTGCAAAAAGAAACAATCTATTAATTATATGATTTGCTGTTTCTTAATTTCCTTTTGTAGATTCCTTTTAAATTTCCTTTTAACCAACGATTCATTAGTTTGTTAAAGTTATGATTTGCTGTCCTGAAATTTCAATTTTTTTGTAGATATTAATTACATGAAGTGTCAGGCAATTTCAAAAAATCTAACAATGGCAATTTCATCTTTTGCACAGGAACAAAAGCAACCGAGAAATTGCAAGAAAGCAAGGGTGCATCCAAGAAAGTGCAAGAAAAGGCTGAGGGATTCATCAGATGATGACGATGATGATGATGAGTGGGCTCCGACAAAGACCCTCCAACCTTATGCAGTGCCGGTACAGTTTTCTTTAATTATCTCATTATACTTCCTTAAAGATTGCAAAAAGAAACAATCTATTAATTTTATGATTTGCTGTTTCTTAATTTCCTTTTATAAATTCCTTTTAAATTTTGTTGTTCCTGGTAATAAATTTCCTTTTAACCAACGATTCATTAGTTTGTTGTTTCTTAATTTTGTTATAGTTATGATTTGCTGTCCTAAAATTTCAATTTTTTTGTAGATATTAATTATATGAAGTGTCATGCATTTTCAAAAAATCTAACCATGGCAATTTCATCTTCTGCACAGGAACAAAAGCAACCAAGAAAATGCAAGAAAGCAAGGGTGCATCCTAGAAAATGCAAGAAAAGAAAGCAAGTGTCAGATGATGAATACTCTCAACCCATGAGTTTCGTAGGTGGTAAAAGAGCTGGTAAGGTCCTGCGATCGAGCGAAAGGGTAAGGAATGGGGATGAGGCACAAAGTTCTGGGAATCAACGAACAATCATCTCTTGGCTGATAGACAACAATGTGGTGCATTCAGAATCCAAGGTATTCTGTTACAGTAGAAATAATGTGGTGAAAAATGGGAGGCTATTGCATTGTGGAAGAATAGCTTGTGATTGTTGTGGTTCGGTTTTCTCCATCGCTAAATTTGAGGCTCATGCTGATTGTACAAAGCACAGACCATCTGCCAGTATCTTCTTGGAAGATGGAAGGTCACTGTTAGATTGCAAAAGAGAAGCACTGAGTTCGCAACAAAAAAAGAATGATGTTCTGATGCAGAGCGAAAGTGGTTATGAAGACAGGAACAACAACATTTGTTCCATTTGTAGTTATGGGGGTAATCTAATGCTATGTGACCGATGTCCATCCTCATTCCACCTTAGTTGTCTTGGTCTTGAGAAAGTTCCTGATGGTGATTGGTTCTGCCCCCCATGCTGCTGCAAAATCTGCAACCGACCTTCATGTAGAGAAGATTGTGCAGATAATTATCCGGATAACTGTTTTCTCTTCTGTTATCAATGCGAGAGCAAATTTCACCTTGGATGCGCAAATAATAATAGCTTTTGCAGTGTTGATTGTGGGGATATATTTTCCAGTCTACAGAAAATGATAGGAAAACCAATTCCAGTGGGTGAGGATAACCTAACTTGGACATTGTTGAAGACCGTGAAAAGTGATAACTGTTGCGAAGATCTTGAGAGCTTAAGTCAAATTGAAAGCAAGCTGAGTATGGCTCTTAGTGTATTCCACGAGTGTTTTGATCCAATTATTGATGCTCTCACCGGAAGAAATATTATATCAGATGTTATTTTTAGTAGAAGTTCAGAACATAAGCGTTTGAACTTTCGTGGGTTCTACACTGTGATTATGGAGAGTAATGATCATGTGGTTTCTGCTGCAACCATAAGGATTTATGGTCAAAAGGTTGCAGAGATACCTTTTGTGGCCACTAGGAAGCAGTTTCGAAGACAAGGAATGTGTAGCATCTTGATGAATGAGCTTGAGAAGCAATTGTGTCACTTAGGAATTGAGAGGATGGTTTTGCCTTCCACTGATAGTGCGATAGAGACTTGGACAAACTCATTTGGCTTTGCAAGGATGACAGATTCTGACAAGTCTCAATTGCTTGATTATGCTTTTCTAGACTTCCATGACACCACTATGTGCCACAAACCATTGATGAAAACTTCAATGTAACATTTTGATAGGATGTAAAGAAATCACAATATATGCAGTTTAATCTTAATTAGATTGCTTCATATTTTTCTTTCATTTGTATGAGAGTTGTAGCTAGATATCTCAACTCTGTTTTATCTCTCCATGCTGCGATACTGACTTGAAGGGAACATCTCCATTTCCTACTTAATCCTAGTGTGTAGCGTCATAACTGCAACTTGAATAGCATGTACTAGACAAAAGAAAATGCAGAGTAAGAGAGCAGTTCTAAACCAAGGATGGTTTTCGATTTATTATGGTTTTCGATTTTAATTATACCTCATTACTGTTAGATATTTAGTTATGTTGAATGTGTGTATTTCATTGGGTATGAAAATTATACCAACTATTGTTTGTTGAATAGTTTGTTCCCTATATGTGAGTACTTCATTGTATGTTTATTTAATTTAGATTGAATGCTTACCTAAGCCAAAGAACCTAGGCTGTTATGTTACTGCCATGTTGATTTGAATTTGCTGCCAGGGATCTTCTTTATAACCTTGGCGGTTTTATGAGGGATATTACAGTGTAATAAGGTTAAGACAATGCTTGTTTCTTTTGCAATGTGAATGGGAAGTTGTTATTACGACACTGTTTATTTAAAATACACATGAAAGATTGATTGGGCAATTGAATGTAGAAGTATTGTGGTTGACTTGATTGTGTATGCTGCAAGAATAAGGAATGAACCCCTTGGAGAATCAGCTTGGTGCCGCTGTTTGGAAAAGTGGGCTGGCCACTTGTATTGAAAGTGCTCTATGGTGAACAATTGTGTTTATTGCTTGTTCGTATGGAAAATTTGTGTGCAATTGGTTGTTATGTGAATAAATTGCGAAGATATTTTCTTGCACTATGTCTACTTTATCTTGGACTAACCTTGTGCAAGGAAAGGGAATAAGATTTTTGAAAGAATCCATATATTGCTATTCAAAAATACGGAATAAACTTGGGATTCTTTAGCTTAAGATTTTTCACCCCCCTTTTTGGGTTACTATTTTAGGGGCCTTGATAGTATGGGATCTACCCCAAGAGAAGAGAGTTAGTTTATGTACATCTGCCCCTAAATGGAGGATAGATCAAATGATTGTTTAATGGTTTATAGGCAGAGTTTTTACATGCATTTAGATGTTATGATTCTGTTATGGAGATATAATGTGGTTATGATTATATTTTATTATGTTATGTAGTGATGTATGTATATATCATATATGTCATGATCAATCATGGTGTTGTACCTAAAACAGTTTGGGAAAACATGAAATAAGAGTATGTTACCTTATTAAATGTTCAAGTATTGGACAATATCTTGTAGGCTCAATTTTAGAAGGTCAATTGGATAATGTTGCTTGAAAAATTAAATGCTTGTGGTTGTTTGAGACATTGGGTTCGTTCAGAAACGATGTATTTTAGCATCTAGTTTGTTTTTGCATATTTAAGCAATGAATATGCGAGTAAGGAAGTATTTTTGCTATATTTTTGGCTTACGTGGATATTCGAATACTTATGGACTTGAAGATATTGGATATTGTGTAATATGTATTTAGATACTTTGTGCTATATATCTGGATACCACATTGGAAGAAAATATTTAGATAAACAAGATAACACATCTTGTATTGCAGATCTTTTTCTTTCCTAATCAGAATAGTCTAACGTTCCCCTGTTATAATTAGACATTAGGAACGGCTTTGATTGAAGTTTAAACTTGCATATTTGTTTTGTTTGAAATGTTTGCTGTATTTAAATCCTATTTTATTGAAGGTTGGAATAGTTAAAGGATATATTTCACAAATATAAGGGTCTATTTGATTTGTTTAAAAATAATACAATGAAAAGCACAAAACTCTCTGTCGAACCCTTTAAGGAGATAATTTTATTTATATATATAAATATGTAAAGTTTATTTTTCTTTTTCTTTTTCTTTCTTTTACATAGGCCCACATGAAATTTCAAGACATATATCTATAAGATAAAATTATATTGTAATGTTAATCCCTAGGCCTAAACATTAGGGGACAAAACAAAATTAAGGGTATTGCGCAAAATAAAAATATTTATTCCTTGCCAAACCATGGGATATTTTGGGTATGCATGAAACCTTTTTCAAAATTAAATTTTTTTTTTAATTTTTGTTCCCAGAAACAGAAATGGATAGAAAACTCATTTGGTAAAATCGGTTTAAAGTTTTGTTCCTCGGATGAACCAGTTTAATTTTTGTGTTGAGGAACAGAAAATAGAATCAACTTTTGTTTTTCTGTTCCCTGACATAAAATGAGAAACACTTATCTCTCTCAATCATTCTCCACCTCTACCATCATCACCACCACCACCATCATTCGACACGATCACCGCCACCATCATCGCCGCCGCCGTCGTACCACTAGTGTCGTCGTCACCACCCCCACTACCACGATGCCACCGCCAACACCTCCACCCATCACTACCACCATCATCGTCGTCGTCGTCGTACCACTAGTGCCGTCATCACCACCACGATGCCATCACCACCATCACTACCACCATGCCACCGTCACCACCACCACAACTACCACGCCACCACCACCATCACCACTATCGCCATCAACCACTACCACCATCATTGCAACCACTGCCGTCACCGCCACCATTGCGATCACCACGCCACTGCCACCACCACTGTTATCAACCACCACTACCATTGCCGCAGTTACTGTCGGCACCACCTTCGCCGCCGCCACCAACCACCACCACCACCACCATCGCATCCACTTCCGTCACCACCACCACCATTACACCATGTCACTGCTACCATTATTGCTGCCACCAACCACAATTGACACCATCCCCACCACCATTGTCGCATCTACTGTCGTTACCTCCACTACCACCGTTGTCGCCACCATTACCACTGCTACCGCCGCAGCCACTGCCGTCACAACCACCACCACTATCATCACCATCGCTACCGTACCGCCGCCACCACCACACCATGCCACTCCCCGCTGCCGCCGCCGCCACCATAACCACACCATATGGAAAGGAAAGTGATGATACATATTTTTTTTTATTTAATAGGAATTATTTTTATTATATTATTTATTGTGTTATTAAACACAATTCTCATTCTCGGAATAAAATAGAACATGTTATCAAACACATTTTTTTTCTCAGAAATTGTTTCAAGGCACAGAAATAGAAATGAATTATTTCTTTTTAGAAATAGTGCTAGGGAATAGAATGATTGTCTTGCACACCCTTTTTGTCCCAAAAATCAAAATCACCTTCCCCATCATGACATTAACATGTGAATTCAGCACTCAACAACAAAACCTTTACAGGAACAAACTTTTGGCTCAATGGAAAATGAAAATCCAGGTCGAACTGAATCTTAATCATAAACCTCTTTGCCTTTAGAAACACCTTCAATTTTAATTACAACCACACATTTCTTATCGGAACCTTCCATTCCAGGAGACCCGGATCTGATTGCGTGCTTCCTCTCCTCGCAGCTGCTCAAAGACCTGGACTCAAACCCTCACTTTGTCGCGAATTCCTTCATCGCAACTTCCCCAACATCACCCCAACACTCCATTGTCATTCTCAAAACATGAATATGGTTTAGAGAGAGAAACCAAAAAGAAGGATGAAAAATTAAAATATAAATAATTAGATACATATAATGGGTCTTTATTTTGTAACGTTACATGAAGGAAATTCCTATCATCCAACGGTAAAAGACAAAAACAAAAAATGATAAAAAAGGCTTTAACGATTCTAAAGTGAATGTAGATAAGTTATGTACATTCGCTTCCAAAACGACATCGTTTTGGATTGAAAAATTAAAAAATTATAATGAAAAAGATTATTATAACCTTTAAAATAAATTATAATTACAAAAATACCTTGATTTTCGTCTCAAAACGACGTCGTTTTGGATTCTATGTAAATTAATTATCTACATTGACGCTAGAAAAAGAGAATCCATAAAAAAGTGGGATAAAACACTTTGTTCAATAATTTTGTTTTGTCATATCTTAACATGATCAAATTATTTTTCTTATCACAACTCTTATTTATCCCACATATAATATGGAGCAACTTTAATAATGATTAAATGAGATACATATAATTAGATTAGTCTGATAAAACTATTAATGGTGAAAAAAATATGAGATTTTTTTTTTCTTTTTTGCCACAGAAAACACTCAAATAAAAATGAGAGATCTCATCATAAAAGAAAGAGAGAAAAATAATTTAATGAAATCCACTCATTTTCTAGGTGAGTGATGGAGAAAAAAAAGTTTAGCAAAAAAAGAAAAAACATTAAACCTCATGGAGTTTATGAGTCATGAGGGTTAGCATTAAGTTTAGGAGTTTTGAAAGGTTAAGAGTCAGTCGTTATGTTTTGTTATTAAGTTTGGTTTTAATTGTGGTTTATGGCTATTTAGTGTTGCAGTTTTAGAAAGGCAAACTATAGCCTATAAATAGTCTAGTATATTGTTTGAGAAATACAGAATTGAGAAGCAACGAAGTTTAGTAAAATATTTCACAGAAGTTTGTTCTCTTTCTCCACAAGTCCTCACGACATTCTTGAATAGTTGTTTTATTTGTTGATTTTGTATTTGAGCGATCCTACAAATTGGTATCAGAGCTATGGGAAAAAAGAGCGAGTTAGAGGTGCCACTCTTCCATGGAGTTAAGGATGAAGCATTAGATTGGCTTCTTTGTTTGAAGGAACATTTTCGGAAAGAAAAAACCTGGACGGAAGACAAATGGCAGGTAGCCATGAGAAGACTCAGAGGAAGCGCAATCAAATGGTTCCGTACATGGAATTGCCACGACTTTAATAATATGTGGAAGGATTTTCTAATGGCCTTCATAACAAAATACTTGCCTGGACGTTTTGATCTGATTAATGAAGAAGATGAAATCTTCAATGATGAAGATGAAGATGATGAGAATGATGCGGATGAAGAAGAGACCGAGATGGCGGAATCCGAGGTTGCCAACGGCAACCCATCCGCAGAGGAGATTTACGTTTCAGAACGCGTAAGAGACGACTCGGAGAAGAAGACGATGGAGATGACTGAGAACAAGGGAGCCGAGATAGAAGAGGAGGAGAACCAAGGAGCCGAGATCGAAGCGGAGAAGGACGGGAATGACGAGTCCATTATCGAGGTAGAAGACTTCGTGGAACCTGAGTGTCTGGAGACAGAGTCGAAAATCGAAAAGGAGATTGAGAAGCTGAGGTGCTTGATGGAGACCAACATGGAGGAGACTGCGAATCCGAGTTCCGTGTTGATAACCGGGATGGGGGAGATCCTGGCTAAATCACCGAGTTCATCTTTTGGAGAAGAGCTCGACCCCGGCGTGATGAGGTTGACTTCGGCGACCGGCATAGGTCGCTGGTCCGAGATGCCATTGAGGAGGTGCGAGGAAGACGGCAATGAAGGAGCCGAGAACGGCGAAAAAATGGAAGGTGCATTTGAAGAAAAGGATGTGGTCTTGAAGAGAAAAAGAGGTTTTGTTGACAATACCAATGATGCAGAAATTGGGATTGGCCGAGGAAATAAAATTGTGAAAGCAACTGATACTGGGAAGAATTTGGGTGACGAGAAACTTGCAGATGAAGAAGTTACAGCGAATGGAAACAAGGAAAGTCCTGCTAATGAAACTGAAAATATCAGATTGAAGAAGCCGCCACCGGATAAAATAAAATATGTTCAGAAAAATAATTGCAGGGAAGATATTTTTTTGGTGCTAGATGTTTTTTGTTAGTGATCAAGATTGAAGAAAACAAGCGCGATCAGAAAGTTGAAGAAAAGCAGAAGCAACACGAAGAAAGAAAGAAGCATTTAAGTTTACGGGGGAGTTTTGTTAAGTAAACGTTAAATGTTACTTTAATGTGTTTAAAGTTGTCAGTTATGGATAGTTTATGAGTCATAAGGTTAACATTTATCTTAGGAGTTTTGGCTTGAATTTGTCGGTTACGGAGTTTATGAGTCATGAGGGTTAGCATTAAGTTTAGGAGTTGAGTTTTGAAAGGTTAAGAGTCAGTCGTTATGTTTTGTTATTAAGTTTGGTTTTAATTGTGGTTTATGGCTATTTAGTGTTGCAGTTTTAGAAAGGCAAACTATAGCCTATAAATAGTCTAGTATATTGTTTGAGAAATACAGAATTGAGAAGCAACGAAGTTTAGTAAAATATTTCACAGAAGTTTGTTCTCTCCACAAGTCCTCACGACATTCTTGAATAGTTGTTTTATTTGTTGATTTTGTATTTGAGCGATCCTACAGTAACATAGTTTGCAATGCATCAAAATTTATGGTTGCTATTCTAATGACGGCAGGTTCTGAATTCAAATGGAGTTGTTCTTGTTGAATTCTTTGCTCCATGGTGTGGTCATTGTAAGGCTCTAACTCCTACATGGGAGAAGGCAGCTACTGTCTTAAAGGGTGTAGCTACTGTGGCAGCACTTGATGCTGATGCTCACCAGTCATTGGCTCAGGTTGTTTTTTGTTCCTTTCAGTCTAGTCTCCATTTTATGTGAAGAGAGATAGATACGAAGACATTAATACAGGGACTCAAATTTTGGCAGGGCCCCATTATGTAACATCTTTGTGTCTATCTCTCAGATAATATGAGAGGATATATTCCCTCATTTTTTTATATTATATGAAATCTGTGAAATGATGAATATGATGTATGTGTTGTTTACTTGTTAATCAACCTTTCCTGGATATGAAGATGCAATATTACATGTTTAAATTTTCTACAAAATGTACACCAAAATTACCATTTTTGGACCAAGCATGATAGACTTTCCTATACATCACGAATAACCACTGGGAACTTGGTAGTTTTTTTTTTTTTTTTTTCAAAAAAAAAAAATTTAATACCATGAATTGATCTCATCATTTCAGCCATTTGAGATATAAGGATGCTTGTAAGACATTGTTGCATTTGGTGACATTGTTGCATTTGGTCAAAGAATCTACGTATCATGCAAAATATGTCGTATGTATAAAGATTCCCCACTTCTTGTTTCAAGCATTACTTTCTATATATAAAGCAACAAACAATATCTCTCTTGCATTTGTTCTTTGTTTGTATAACCTGGATTAAATAAAAGAATATTTCTTTGGAGCAACCCTAAAAGAATTTTTCAGTGTATAAACATTCTTTTTCTCTCTTACATAACCTCTATTATTGTTTGCATGGTTAAACATATTATCCTTTTCCTTTTACTCTTGTAGGCTTCTACAGTTACGATGTAAACGTTGTGCTATATTCTTCATTAATTATAAACTTTATATTGAAAACTTCAAAAACATTGAATTGTGTGTGTGATTTATTTAATTCCATATAGGAATAAGGGGTAAGAGGATTTCCAACCATAAAGGTGTTTGCACCTGGGAAGCCACCTGTTGATTACCAAGGAGCTAGAGATGTCAAACCAATTGCTGAATTCGCTCTTCAACAGGTTTGTTTGAAACTCTTATGGGGTGTTTTAATATTTTTTACCTGAAATACAGTGAAACCTGGCTGTCAACGAGAGCTTTTGTTGCATAAGTTATGTTGGGCGTGGGGAGAGTAGATGAATTTCTTGTTTTATTTAAAACAAACAATTTCTTCCAATCACATCAGTGCATTTAAAATAATGGCTTGTGCCTTACTGCTAAGGTGATGTAAAGATTGTGTCCATTTCACTTGCTGTGTTGTCATTCGTGGTTTGCAACTTAATTGACGTTTTTTGTGTTGGTGCCCAGTGAAAAGTCATAATTGGCTTTTTATTGAAATAAATAAATAAATTCTGAGTTACTGCCTTGATTTCTCATGGTAATTTATCAGTTAATTAATGTGATTTGTTACTCACAGTTAAGAACTTTCTTGTGTTTTATTATAGGCAGTAAGTTACTCCAAACTATTGCATGCTTATTTTTTGTTTGTATGTGCAGTTAAAGACTCTATTGAAAGAACGTTTAAATGGAAAAGCAACTGGGGAATCAAATAAAAAGTCAGAACCCAGTGCTTCAGTAGAATTAAACTCTAGCAACTTTGATGAATTGGTTCTCAAAAGCAGAGAACTTTGGATTGTAGAATTTTTCGCACCTTGGTAAGTGTATTCTACAGTGCTTATTAACATCTTTCTCTTTTTTTTTTTTTCTTGATAACTAGTCAAAAATTCCCCTCTGGTCTTGGTCAAAACGATCCCTCGCTATCTTTATTTTGGTTATTTTTTTTTTAACCAAGATTTGCCATGTTGGTTGTGTTCTCAGTCTCTTAAGTAATTGTATCTTTGAAAGCTTTTAAATTCTTGCCTTTTCTTAGTTCTGCATAAGACTTTTAAATTCTGTCTTAATTAGATCAATTTATATTTTTCTGATTGCATTGTTGTTACCAGTCTCTAATGAGCAGGTTCAATGTTCAAGGATTCCCAACTATCTTGGTATTTGGTGCCGACAAAGAGAGCCCGATTCCTTATGAGGGTGCTAGAACAGCCTCAGCTATTGAATCATTTGCTCAAGGGCAGCTGGAAACGAATGTTGCTCCTCCTGAAGTAACTGAGCTGACTGGTCAAGTAAGTGTACTTAACTGCCAACTTGGTTGTGGATTAGTTAGAAAGATAGCATACAAGAAAATTAACATAAGCCTTATCTTTAGG